GTTGAATTTAATTCTTTTAAAACTATTTTGAAACGAAAATGTAAAATACCATAAATTTTTTACAATGTATTAATATTGTATTAATAATATATTCCATTAGAGGTTTATTCCTATATAGAAAATTGTAATAACCGACAACCATGCTATTAGAATAACCTTGGAAATGCAGTCACGTATTACAACTTTTAATGTAACCGCATCTGAACCAAACCACCAGGACGCCACCAGGACGCCAAATCTTCTTTATATAAATTACAAAAGCAAACTATACTAGTAACTGAATGAAAGTGTCAATGACACTGTAGCTCACCTTGGGTGTGATAGAAGAGGGAGGGAGGGATATATAAAGGGCGCGTTTGTTTGGGACGAATCCGTCTGATCGAGATCATATGATCCTGATCCGACCAAATAAAAGCAAAACTCACTTTCACCGGTTCACGTTTCGCTGTGACCTATCACGGGATGGTTCATAACAAAGAACAAGCTGTGATTGGCTGAGGCGCGGGCCGCCATACTGGATCCCGTTCGAATCCGCCTCGCTAGCAGGGTCGGGTTCGGTGGATCGAGATCAAGTGATCCGACCAAACAAACACTCAGATCAACGAATCCATCGGATCGAGATCCGTGGATCCGACCAAACAAACGCGCCCAAAGCAAGAGTATATATTGGAGAACCCCCATTATATAGCATATCTCCCAATATATACTCTTGATAATGATATATGCATAAGTTTTGATGCGAAAATAAATGTTTCAGATCCGAGTCTGAAATCTTGACGAGTTGGTGCTACGCCTAAATGATCGCCATTTTGGTTTTCGAATATCGCGCAAATAAAAACAATAAAATATTCCAGACAAATTACTGTAACGAAGAATCTAAAACACAATATTACACGTATATAGGTATGATTGTAGAGTTGTTAACCAGTTAGACGAAATAAACGTAATAGGACGTTGTCATCTATCCCATAGGAGTGACAACTATTTTGGGGCTAGCCTTACACATTCATATACCAAAATTTAACAAAATCGAATGAATCTAGATGGTAATTTTCATTTTTACCAGTCCTCATTCATTCACATACCAGAAATGAGCAAAATCCGTTGAACCTGATCTGAATTTCCATTTCCATTTGCATTTTTGCCAAACAGTGGACGTGGCACGAAAGTAGGTAGACTGGCGTGCTCGAAAATAGGACGTTCAAACCTCTCCCACAGGAGTAACAACTGTATGCAATTTGAAACATGTGGGTCAAACGGTTCTTGAGTTATCGTTGACCGAAGGCAGACACTGAAATGCATAGTGAAATTGCCAAAATCAACCTAATTTAAAAAAAATATCAAAACCTGTGTGATATGTTTTGGGGCCAGTCCTAATTCATTCCCATACCAGAAATGAGCAAAATCCACTGAACCTGAACGGACTTATGGCAATTTCCATTTTTGCCAAAAAGTGGACGTGGCTCGAAAGTAGGTCGACTGGCGTGCTCCAAAATAGGACGTTTAAACCTCTCCCATAGAGGTAACATTTATATGCAATTTGAAACATGTGGGTAAAACGGTTCTTTGAGTTATCGTTGACCGTAGCCAAATGTTGACGAACGGACGTACGACACCCCATGACAATAGCTCATCTTGATGTCAAGGCGAGCTAAAAATTAACGTTTATGTTTACACGAAATCCCGTGAACTTACCAATATTAATTCAAAATGTCAGGCACGGATTTAGGCCGGTTGGCACCGGTTTCCAGAAACCGGTCACAGGCCTCAAAATTCACCAGAATGCACCAAATATAGCCTAATTTTTAAAAAATTCCTTGGGGGGCATGCCCCCGAACCCCCCTAGCTGCAGAAGAACATATGGAAACTGGTCACCCAAACCCTCTGGATCCGCCCCTGAATGTATATTGAATTTACATTTAATTCATAGAGCTGTCAGTTACAAGTACATAGACGACCTACCTTGTGTGCCATGAAGAATATGTGGTCTTTCTCCGACTCAACAATACAAGATGTCTGCCTATATGAGGAATCTGTTGTTCTTTGCCAACATGCTGTTCCAAAACTCTCATCATGTCAAATGACTGACTACCAATTATTGGAATGCATAATTGAATAACCTTTGATATAACTAGTAGGTTGGATAGCTTCAAATGCAAAATAGTTGCTCGCATATTCATTATGAAATTAATAGTGAATTTCCAAGAATTAGTACTTTTGCACAAACAGTAATTTTCCAGTTGCTCCATGCATGTATATTACATCTATACTACCGAGAATGTGATTTTGCAAAATATGTCTAGAACAAAAACAATCGTAGAAAAACAGATTTAAACACGTGTTAAAACACATGCACGTTTGTGTTTTGAAATATTAGTCTAGTCGTCGCAAAATTTCCTATGCGCACATCAATCTTTTTGCGTGATGCACATACTTAGCAAACAAGATCTTTAGTAGTAAAGTATTTTTGGGTTGGCATTACTGTTCAAGGATAGGATGGGAAAAAGAGAAACAAAAACAAAAGTTAGTACATGTCAAGCAAATGGATTACAACTTAATTAAGGTGCTAAGGAGCTAAGAACGAATTTCAACCTCTATACGCCCACCTTATATAAACATTATAAAGCAATATATTAACATTGGCTAGCCTTTAATAAAGTTATCCAAGGTTTAACGTAACAGCTCAATCTAAAAACCATTTTTTAAGACCTGGTAAGACTAGGTTTTTTTTCTCTTATGCGCATAAATATTCCAAATGCCTGAATCACCCCACCCCTGAATCATCCCATGACAGGTTATTTAACAATGCATGACCGACTGCACGTGTAGCCAAATAGGTGCTACTTTGTTCTTTGCTGGTACTGCTCGCTGCATGGTCGGGGGTGGGGGGGGGAGGAGAGATATTACATATTTACGCAAAACATCAATAATTACACTGATTGAAGCACACAGTAGTCACACAGACTAAACACAACATACAATTCCTATTCTTGTTTAATTTCTTGTTCTAATGCGTTTTGAAGTAGCAGTTACTACTGCTGCCAGGGTCTGTCTCCCTGGGTACTGCCGAAACGTACCCTGGGTAGGGTCCGGTATACCGGAACGTACCCTGGTACTATCTAATATGCCGGACCGTACCTCGCCTACTCCACTAACGAGTCTAGGGAGTCGCCTACGCCTACTCCCTAACCCTAACCATATCAGATAGTTACCAGGGTATGTTCCGGTATACCGGACCGTAACCAGGATACGTTCCGGCAGTACCCTGGGGGACATAGACCCTATCAGCGTTACTACTGCTATGCGAAATCTGATTGCAAAAATTTGACCGACAAAAGAGTAGCAGTGAGATGAAAATGCTTTGTAACATAATTTGAGTGTTATTTTGTAATAAAATCAAATGAAGACTATATAGTCAATAGCTAAAGCTAGGTGCCCGCCCAGTTGTTTGTGGGTGCTACGAAAATAGTAAGGAAACCCCAAGTCCGCAAACGAAAGGGATGAACTGCATCTTCAAGTTTAGAAGGCACAGGGGTTCATCATTTTATTGTTAACGTAAAACTTCTTTCTCTACCCTGCTTCCCCAGCTTGTTTCACACATGATTCAGAAATCTACTTTTCCACACACCCACACATTTTGTATGAGATGACCCGCCAGCTGTACAATTCTAACTTTACCACTGACTATACTAAACTTGCATGCAGTACTTTTGGATTGTTGAACAGTTTCCGCTGAGAAATATTTGGGACAAACTTTTCTGTAATCACCGTATTTGGTAAGCTAATATTACACACAATGTTGCTAGAGTGACTTTATGTAGTCGAGTGTTTTCCTGAAGCCTAACGTTATTATTATGATATAACGCACAATACATTTAGCAGCGCCACTGTAAATTGAGATTCAGAACCAAAAACAATTAAAATTAGAATAAATTGGTTTCATGTGAAAGTGATAACGGTGGAAATTTTTATTTGAATTTCATTTCTGGACACAATATGGTTTGACCGAAACAAGAAGTGAATATTTTTATTTCACCACTTCTCACTTGAGATTTTTGAATGAAAATGGCAATAGCGAAATTGACAAAACCGACAGCCAGAACACAACTAATCATGACAATAATGGCTAACTCCACAGTTAGATATTTACGAAATTAAAACAGATGATTACACAAACCTGGTGACTCACATTTAAAAGTAGTTTCACACAATAAAATGCCACTATTGTCATTTAAATAGGTTTTAAACAGTCGCAATTTCAATGCATCTGCATTACCACAACTTTGCTAACAAACACGAAGAGTACTGCAGCTAAGTTTTATGAGTCAGACTGTACTAGCAAGATCAATACCAGTAAAACAGTAGCACACTCCTAAAGGGCCGGACACACTAGGCGATTTTATCGCGCGACTCAATCGCCGGTGAAAATCGCCTAATGTGTCCAGTCAGTCGCCGCCGATTTAGTCGCCCGATTCAATCGCATCGATCAAAACGTTTTGATATTATCGGGCGATTATTTCAGTCGTGCGACTAAATCGCGTGATGTGTCCACTCGACTCGCGTGATAGAATCGGGCAATAAAGTCGCCCTATTAGATCACATTAAAATCGCCTAGTGTGTCCGGCCCTTAAGCGTTGGACTGTAAGATCTGCACAGAACAACAAACATGGTTTGACACGATTCTTAAACATAAAGAAACAACTAGGACCACTTGCTGATGAGATATTTACAATTAGTGGGGACTTAATTTGACCTTTCAGCTTTGTTAGGATGCACCCATACCGTGCTACGCACCATATGGAGTAGGGATCCATGGATTCAGGTCTTTACCACTGACCGCCGTAGCTGTCCTCGTACCACCGCTGACCGCTGCCCCCGTTGTAGCCACCCCCGGATTGACTCAGCGGCAGCTGGGGTGCTAATTGCAACAGATTTCCCACATGTAGATGATACACCTCAGAATAAATGGTTCGAGAATGTATTGAAATAAAACAGAATCATGCATTAAAGGAACAAGTTTAATACGTTTATCAGTCATTCTTTGTCATTATTGTTATCTGGTGTGAATGACTGTAAAATTTTTGACCTGTTTTACACATCGATAAAAAATTGGGGTTAAGATCAATTTTTCTGCCACCATTAGCGCTGAAGGGGTCGTTGTCGTATATGTAGTACCCGAGGTGTCGGCGAGTATGTCGCCTAACCCTAACCATATCAGATAGTTACCTCGGGTACATATTATATGCCATTATACGACAACGACCCTTCGTGCACCATTAGCAGGACATTATCAATTAAGCTATTATACCACATTAATTAAATCTATTGCCAACAAATTGACACGATAGGATCTAAATTATAAGTAGATTCTACTATTACTTTAATGAAATACTGAATTATGTGTAGACTTCAAAACTAATGGACGTAGCAAAGTAAGTGCACTAATTACATAATAAACAAAGAATAATGACACATTGGCAATTAGGAAATTTAAAATTTAAGGAGAGTACAAAAAACCGTGAGGGAATGATTAATCATTAAAGTTGCTATAGATGAATTTGTGTGCTTGCAGATTACAACAAGGAAGTTAAGAATGATGTTATTAACTATCATTTAACATATAATTCGTGGATGGAAATGCACAAGCTAATATATTTGATTAAAATGATCAGTAATTAATCAGTTAAGCTCAGCAAAACGTTCTTCCAAATCAAGTCGATTACATAAAATCTCGTTGACTATAATAATTGTGGAAATACATATCTACAATTTTTACCTGATTTTTTTCATTTCCCCAGTCACAAAATAATGCAACTTGTACCAAGTAATCAATGCACAGTTTCCTATTGTATTAAAAAGACTGAAGCAACGTTTACAACAAATTACAAAAACAAGTTTCTCAGTCAACATTATATAGGTTTTCTTGCTACAAAGGGCAAACGTTGTGATTTTTGATATAAACGAAGCTTTTCTAATACTGCAGGTGGGTCTATTACGTTTTATTATGACACGTCACGTGCAATTTAGTAATTAAATATTTAGCTTAATTCAATACTACTGCTTTGGCAATAAGATTGTATGTTATAATTATATCAGATAGTTGAAATATGGTGGATACAATGCAATTAGTTGTGATACTGATACACTACAACACTGTTAGGATTTGGAACAGACATTGCAACTGTACGAAATAGTTCTGCAAAATTCCAGTGATAATTGGGTGAATTTTGTATTTTGAGTGAACTTATGTAGCAGTGCAACGATACATCAACTTATAGATACAATGTGATAATAGACGTCAAATATCAATTAGCTAATAATGAATTTGAAATATAGATGACAACTGCCGTTTTCTATTTAGCTGTTGCCCACATTCCATGACAAACGTGTAGTGAAAAATGAACAAAAAAGGTTTATATTTAACTGTTACATTAGTTAGCTCATATCGTTTGGGCTTACTAATTTTATGAATACCTTGCTACATCCACTTAAATGCAATACTATTCAGAAAGCAATTACTATTTTTAAAGTTTTATACATATATTAAGTTATCAACTCGGTTTGATACTTGAGTAATACTATTGCAATAGAATTATAATTGTGATTAGCAATATCAATAATATTGAAATGGTAGTTTTAAGAATAGCAATAGCCCTGCAATAACCAAGTTTCCTCCATATTCACCACTAGAATGACTTAATTTCAGTCTTGCAGACACAACCCAAGAGTATCACCAAAACCACAAAATACAGGTTGCTTTAAATGTTTTCCTGTCTAAGAAAGATCTAAACTAAAAATTGCTCAAGAATTACTCATAAAAGCATGGCATAATCGCAAGCAGGTGAGCTAATAATACGTAGTAATTACTAGTATACAACTTTATATTTAATCTACATGGTCATTTCTGCATGGTAAAAGTGACATACTTGACTTGACTTGCTTAGCAGTCACTTTTACCATTAACAGGTCATACTTTTTATGACATAGTCATAAGAACAAACACTAAGGGAACTGTAAGCAACTCTTATGCTAAAAAAATGCAAGTACTTGTCGGATTGAGCAGCTTACTAATTACAAACAAAATAATGACTACCTTGAAAAAAGAAAGGTGCCTACACGTGACTGGAGAGTTTTAATCATGACAAAACACAAAACACTTATATTTGTATGTAAGTTGGATCATATGAGATATTTACAATTAGAGGGCAGATAATGGCTTGTAACTCTGCTAGGAACCACCCTCACCGTGCTACGCACCATATGGAGTAGGGATCCATGGATTCAGGTCTTTACCACTGACCGCCGTAGCTGTCCTCGTACCACCGCTGACCGCTGCCCCCGTTGTAGCCACCCCCGGATTGACTCAGCGGCTGCTGGGCGATTGGAGCCGTGCCCCACGACTGGCCTTTGTTCAGGAAGCGGCGTTTGCTGTCCTGCCCCTGGTGTCCGCCATCAAACTTTCGCTTGCCGTTCGCGGCGCCAGCGGCGGCCCCGCGCATGCCTCGGCCGCCCCTCATCGTCGCACCTCGAGCGCGCGGGGCGGCGCGCATACCCGAGCCACCGCCCCGCATCATGCCGCGCGGAGCACCGCGACCTGGCAGGTGCAGAGGAGGCATGGAGCGACCGCGCGGAGCCCCGCGACCACGCCCCTGCACGGCAAACAACAGACAAACAATGTATAAATTGTGGTGCCGTAAAACCTCCAATTTCACCAAAGGCGATATTCGCCTTGCAATGTATAAATTTACCCTTGCGTACATACTGTAAGTTTCACTGGAATAATAGAGAGTACTACTTTACTTAAAACCTAAACCCCTTGATCTCAATTATTTACATTATTTACATGCTATTCAAATCCAAGATAATTTTCAGGAGTGTAACTACGAAGTAATTCGACAGTTACGTGTATGTATTAATTTTTAGTTTCGAGTCGAGACATACTGAATTACGACAGCTGCCGAGTAGTAGAAAGTACGAAGAAAGATATTTTTACACAGGCGTTTCTCTGTAAACACAAAGTCAGAGAGCAAATGAACTAGGTACAAACCCGATCCATTGCGCCTCTACCACGAGGACCTCTACGTGGTGGGTAGCCACCTCCATGTCCATAACCGCCGCCGCCGCCGCCGCCGCCGCCGCCGCCGCCGCCGCCTCCGTATTCATAATCATCGTAGCCACCATAGTAATCATCATAGTAGGTATCGTTATATCCGCCTGGATACTCATAGTAGTCATCAAAATATGCTGAAATTACAGAAAACTACTTAAAGACTTCTGAAGCGGACTTCAATTATTGAATTACATGAAATTGTATTTCCACTGTGTCACTTACTGTAGCAAACTATGTAAGCCATACTTTCTCCTAAAATTGCCATTATATAATTTTTTTTAGACAACATCGTTTTAAACAGATGCATGTCTGCGGGACTCTGCCCTGATATTACTGAAATTCAAATCTAGTGGCTACTGAAATAAATGACACAGGCAAGCTAATCTATTAAATTGCCATGAATTGTGTAGTGCTAATTGTTACATGTGAATACTTTGTAATTGAAATATATAATGTAGGTGGACTACACTTGTGCTTTATAAGCAGTTATTAATAAAGGTAGCAGATGATTAAACCAGTGAAGTACAGTGATAGGTTGTCAATATTCTTATAACCAGTGCAAGCAAACTACTGGTATCACGTGGGCTTCCAATCTCTGCATGTATTTCATCAACATGTGGATCTCTGGTGACTCCCTCCCCAACCCTCGCAGAATACTTCGCTATATCCATCCCTCATTCTTGGCTCATACATTTGAGGATTTTTTTACCGTAACAAATAAATAATGTGACGCATGTTTACACTGATGATAAAGTTAAGTGGCTTTTCTATTTTGCCATTCAGGTGTATTGCATGTGGATAGTCAAGACTATGGAATGTCACCGTAAAAAAAATCTTGCTATTCTGTAACATTCAGAACGAGCATAGCATATTACAGACAATGTTTTATGGATGATAAGAATTTCCTTACGTGGTGGTGGCATTCTCCCACCGCGTCCTCCACGGTGACCCATTGGTCCTCCACGCATCGCTGGGGGGCCAGCATAGTAATAATCATCGAAACCCCTGCAGAAAAACAATTTTGCAACAATAAGAGTAATACAATATACATTGATATAGATGCTAAGTAGTAACATTGGGGTTTTTTGTTAGAGCTCAGACACGGGGTGTTTTCTGCTCGTCCACTATATCACTCAATTTTGCCCCCTCAAAATGTGCATACAAACCAGGCAGCGACTGAGTGACTGAGCACACACACGCACGCACGCACACACACTGCAACAATGTAATGGTACAGTAATCCAGACTAATCTGTATTATATGTAAACATGTACATGTAAATAAATGCAGGTGTGCCACTACACAATAGACATGCAGAGGCACAGTAAAGACTACTGTTCTTTATACAATCTCTACTTAACTGTCATGACCAATGACACTCACCCTCCACCTCTCATCACCACGAGTCGTCGCTGGTGCTCCATTTGGCGCTGCTCTTTCTTTTTCTTGTCTGCTGGTGGCTTTGCTAAGCAAATCTCCATTGCTGCACCCTCCAGATCTTTATTATTCAACTCATGTAAGGCCTGCACATAATAACGTTTATACACTCAAATTGTTGTAGCTCTAAGGGTAAAGCAGTCAACTTACATCAGAAAACATTCACAAACAAGTGCCGCAGAGCGACAGCGCTCAACTGACGTGTACTGTAGCCGGGTATTCTTCTGATAAACTCACTGGCAACCGAATCAAGTGCGCCCCCCCCGCCACCGCGTTCGCGCTCAGAGCATATATCTAGGATACTACTAATACAGATCTCAAATCTATGATAGCTAGGCTTTGCTATACCGGTAGTACAGTAATAAAGATACAGCTGTGTAACTTTAATGACTACGCTATATTAACATGTTATCATTGATATGCGTCGAGCGCGAGCGTAGTGGTGGTGGGGGGGAGGGGACGGGTGGAGCTCTAATAGCAAAAGCAGTTGCCGCGAGATGGCGCGTGCAATTGTCATCAAAAATCAAAGATGGCATCACCCTTCGTGTGTGATAACCTCACTCCATTGAGTTGCTGAAATCCAAGTATATTCAGGCAGGCGAGAATTTCGCTCAGCTGTGAGTTAACACATCTGCATTGCAGGTTGCCAGGCAATAATTATGATTAGAATAGTGCCAGTTCACCCCCATGCATGCGTAATGGACTGCTCCCATGTTTTTGCCTACCCACGCGAGCATTCAGGGTTCATTACAGTGTGCTAATACAGGGTGCCACTCAGGGTGCTAGTACAGACTGCTTTAGAAAATAATATGATTTAAGGAGATAATATGTTCAACAAACATTTGCCTTTGCAATTGAACTGTGCAACTGTAGCCTCACATCCACAATAGCAAAAGCAGTTCAGTCCTTTGTTAACAGTAAACAAATCCATGTTTAACCCTCCTCTTGAGGGTCAAAAAGTTATCCGACACTTACTCTTCGCATGTCAGCGGAAAGTACATTTTAATTTTATGGTCCTTTCAATAAAGCCATAAAAATGGTAGGTCACCGCTGAAACAAAAACGTTTTTCAATTGCTCCGTCAGACCATGTCCTCAGAAACTGTCTAAAATCTGCCCTGTGCCCCATTGACCTTTGACCTGTGACCTCCAATTTCGGCACAGTGATGGCTTTTCCTACCATGATGCTATACACCGACTATCACGAGCTTAGGTCGAGCCATTTAGATTTGTGCCGCAATTCTGCATTTCCTCCTTATACCTTAAGTTAAGGAGGGAATGAATGTTCCCCACTTCTTTTACACCTCTTGACCTTTGACCCCCAGCTTCGACATCCCAACTCGCTTTCGGATTACCCCCCCACGTCCCGAATATCGTGACCGTACGTCGAGCCGTTTAGATTTGTGCCCAACTGTTGACGGATGCACGCACGGCCGGACAGACGCACGCTCATGCGATTCTACAAGCTGCATCTGACTATGTCAGATGAGCTAAAAACTAGATGTTTAAATAAATGTGTCACATTACCTTGATGCAGTCTTCTCTATTTTCGAAGTGAACGAAACCATAATCCTTTAACTTCTTCACTCGCTCTATCTTGCCATAAGGCTCAAAGAGATCTTTAAGTTTCTCCTCTGAAACTTCGGATTTCAAATTCCTTACGTAAAGCACCTTCACCTAAACAGAGTATGTAAACAGAGATATACAATCAAAATACTCAATATGGTATGTGCCCATAAATTTACAAGACTGCAATTTAACACATTCAATGCTAAAAACAAGATAGCTGGTAGAAGCATTGTAAAATGGACTTCTACTAAATATGATATATCCAAGTTAGCTATAGTATTACTCAGTAGAGGAAAGCACCTATTGTAACAGAGAATGACTGGGGCCAGTATATATTTATCACGTTATATTATATTTACACATTTAATTTCCCTTCAAAATTATGATGACAATGATTTGAAAACTGTTTTTAAGTGGAGTAGGGCAAATTATTCCAATTTTAAACACGGGCCATGCTATATATGTTCTTTACGATCTTTCAAATAAATCACAAAATTAATACATGTGTACCAATTAGGTCTCTCCTACAGGTGACATATTGCTGAATACTCTTAGCATAAAAATCAATATAATTTTTTGCAGTTACAGGCTATAAAACAGCAAATGAGCAGAAAACTTGCACCTGCATGCTGAGATTTGAGAAATGAAATACGAAAATGCTGCTACAAAACATGTGCATCTGTTTATGTGACTTAAGTTGTGCAAGACTGGGTCTGTAAGGTCGATGGAAGTTCATGAGATGCGAGAATCACGTGCTCTTGATGTTCACATATATAAACAAATCTTAATTTCCAATGCAGATTTCCACGCACATATTCATGAAAAGAATGATACGTTGATTCTTTTAAGACATGTTAACCTTACTGTATACACTTGGTGTTAAGCAAAGAGTACTGGCAAGAATCAGAACGGTCAAGAAATATGAGAACAACTGGGAAAATGTGAAATTGAACATTGCGTAAAGATATCACAACATTCTAAACACATTTCTATGCAGTTTTGACAGATAAACGTAGTGATAGTATAGAAATATATCAATGTTCAAGCTTTGCACATTATTATTAGTCTAACCCAATAACTACCTTAGACATAGTATCCTCATCTGGTTCTTCCTGTGGGTCAGCCCAGTCTACTATAATGTCGCAGTTCCACACCTTTCATTTAAATAACTAGGTTAGAACATGTAAAACATATATACACATGCATCCTGCTCTCATGTGAAATCAGGAAAAACAATGTTACTTATATACTACTAAAGTATGATTACCATTATGTGGTAGTTACCCTAAATTAATACATCAAAGTTTCCATGGCACATCCTATGATTTAAAGTAACAATTTCGTCATAAATAGTACCACTGTTTTAAAATATAAACAGAGGTTTTGTTTACTATTATTGGTTAAATTGCCAATATTTATTATATTATATTTCCCAGAATGCCAATATTTTTAACGTAAACAAACAAAGTTTGACCTATACATAACTCGTAGTTCTGTTGTGCACAATAAATAAAATGCAGTTGTGTACCCTTAAATAGTTTAAAAGCAACCCCATCATCTAAGAGTTTGGGGTATTGTGCATTTAATGATTGTATTTGGAAAAAACTGTACAAAAATTTTACATGTACATACTTCATAAAATTCTTGATATAATCAGATTAAGGCACTATCCACAAGCTACACCTACGTAGTTATTGTGATAACTTATTGACCGAACTAAATAGTTAAATATAGTAAACAACACAGTTGAGTCCCACCATCCGAGGCGAGACCTGCGTGTGTACCTTTGTCCTTCCTGAGCTCAAACGTCGCTTGGCAAGAGAAGCCGACTTGTGCGAATCATATTCCAGGAAGCAAAATCCTCTGTTCTTTTTCTTTTCATCTGGAGTGCTGTAGACAATGACATCTTGTAGACCCGCTGAAATACAGGAGTGCCCGTATTAATTAGATATTTTAGAATATCTCAATAACAAATTTAGTTACTAGACAACACAAAGAACAGCAACATCAACAACAACAAACCATAACTTATGCATACAGTAAACAATAATATTAGGAATGATGGCTGAAAGAAAAGAAAAAGTAAACTTTGCAAAGGGTATTCACCATACTTAACAAAAAGATTACATGCAATATCACAACACGAATGAGTCCCTTACCAATCACTAATCTCCTCACATTAACATGCATGGAATGTAATCCTACAACAATACACACACACACACACACACACACACACACACACACACATGGCACATGTATAGACAATCAATTATTCTGTATGCTGTTATCACATGATGCTATCAATCATGACACCATGAGTTTATTAATATTACAATTTTCCGTATGTGCTCTTTCTCAAGCTACATCATTATGTCTTTCATGACATCGCATTTTGTCATATTTCTGATACATATTCATGTACCGTTGTACAAATCACAAGCAAAAGTAAACCTGGCCTTGCCTGATTTTACAGCTACCTAAGTTTAAAATACTTGTGACATGAGTACTTCTAAATGATGTATACTTACTTGTAATTTTAGCAAATTCAGCTAGAATCTCATCTTTACTCTTGTTCTTTGGGATATTGCCGACAAAAAGTCGAAGGTTTGGTGTGGACATGTTGACTTTCAAACGCTTGCCCTTTTTTATCTCAAAGTTGTCAGCCTGAAAGTATATCAAATTCACTAGAACAGTAGAAGCCAAATGATGAAAATAGTGTGTAGTAGAACATGAATAAATTTAGATTAACTATTATCTACACTTTATAACCGTTTCTCACAGGAATTTTGCCAACGTGACGTCCCACTTATATTGGTCATTAGACATGAAAAATTAGAAAAGTGAGTCAGGGTTTGATTTAATTCATTAGGCAATAAACGTCTGCATTCTAAGTAAGCAATATACTGCTAAAGAACACTAGTTTGTACATATAAAACAATAAAACCCTACAGGTCACTTCATATCATATTACTGATTTGAAACTTTTATACATGATCCTTAGCTGGGGAAGGGTCTGCATGGGTGTCTCCTAGAATGTTCTATCAAAGAATTGGGTGAAATATTGCAATTTCCTGCATTCACAGCAACCAAAAAATGCTCGCACTAGCTTAAGTAGAAATAAAATAATGAAACCTTGCCACAAACCTTTGTGGACACACTTTACTGGAATGAATATAAGATCTGCATTTTAATAGTTTAAAAATCAAAAATATTTGTTTTTACTGACAGTTTTTCCACTGAGTTTTTTTCATTTAAAGCATTACAAATACATACTAACATTAATTTCTCTAATCATGAATTACTTGTTTTATTGTAAAAATATTAATTGTCAAATGACGCAAAATTGGTCAAACTTACCTGCTTTACAGCGGCTTGAGCTCCCTCTTTTTCACAAAATGTAACAAACGCATATCCTCTGTTGAGACCTGTCATTGGATCCATCATTAATCGCAAGTCCCAAACTCTTCCACACTTTTCAAACAAAGGTATCAATTCATCTTCAAAGATATCTTTGGGAACTTTCCCACAGAAGACCTGTCGCAAAAAAAACAATTGTAAAAAAAAAATCATTGTGATCTTCACAATGTTCTTACTTTTAAAAGGTAAATCTGTGTAATGAAAAAAAATTTAAAGATTACACACATTGCGTGACCATATGCCAACCACATACACAGAATAACTGTGATATCACAGTATTTTTTAAATTGTGATTTTTTTAACATTACATGTAGAATCCATGTGTATGAATGCTTCAATTGTACTAACTGTTCATTTTTCTAAGTGCAAAAAAAATTCGACTATGAGTTAAACGAACCTCACAACCTGCACCTGGCTGTGGTTCTGAAGCATCCCAGTCAGGAGGTGGGCCACCATACTTTCTCTGCCCTGTGGTGACATCAAGTGTATACCCTGTTCTATCCAGAATTTCCTAGAAATAGAGAGCAACCATATTATTACTGCTACTGCAGCATGCTAGCTCAGCAAAGCTAACCACAACCATGGCAAATGAGCTTGAGGAAAGCCTCTTGTAACCTTTAGTTAATACCGTATTTGTACTTTGTAGGATCATTCTGGTATCAACCATCTTTACAGCCCAACCGAATCAGGAAATAGGTAGCTTGCAAAATTAATGGTTGTGGCTGCCTAACGTAAGCCCCTTAGGGATTCATCTTATCTCTTCTGACACTCCTACTCATATGCCTAGTACTTTAAAAACAATGTTTAGCAACACCCCTGGTATAGTTAACGTTCCTAAACAGAGCATAATAAACATGCCGTGCAGGGTTCGCTGTCAGCGTCAAATTAGTTTGGCACTTTCAATTTTTGAATAACATGGTTGAATACACTGATAATTTAAATTATTCCTCTTTCCTGCAAGTTGTTATGACTTCATTTTTAATGAATGAAACCACCAATTACTAAATATACTTAAGGATACTCTCCACGTTGTGCACGGGTATTGCTCTAGTGAAGATTAAACGTTTATTGGCGAATGAATCGAATCAATCACTTGTTTTCTTTATAGAGGAGATATATCTCTATGCTCAAGACCAAAAATTTTATGAAATTTCCAGCACCTAATTATGTTACCACACAAATTTTGAATTTTTATGTAAAAATGGTATTTTGGATATTTCTCAACTACCAGAAAGAGTGAGAATACAATATTTTTGCCACATGTTAAGCACAATATGGACCAAAATAGTGCGTCAGGATTTTTCTTTAATTTTCATATTTACTGAGAAAACTAGGAAAAACTGCTTAAAAATCAAGTCGTGTGTTAAAATGGAAAATTTTAGCGAATAAAGAGGCATAACTAATAAAGTACGGCACTTAATAACAAACCCTGACGCACTTCTTTACCACAATATGTTACCATTAAAACGAGTGTAAAATTAAATTAATCCGAGTTGTAATCACAGAGAAATATCCATTTATACATCGGCTACTATGTCAGAAATCGAAACGGAGAAATAAGCGTTTTTCTATTTTCCGCAATGAGTGACCGCCTGTGTGCAAAATGGGTGAACGTATGTGATATATCTATTGTTAGTACTTACTGCGACATATCCATGACTAACTGACACCACTAAATTGGTAAAATGTTCCATGCACCTTGAGAAATTCTGAGAAATTACGAGGTGACCAACGCAAATTCATGCAAATGGCGCGAACCCTGACGTCACTGTCAACAAACGCGCGCCTTATGTAAGGTGCGTTGCGAGGTGTGAGAACTATTTTAGGCTCTTGTGGGATACTTATTGGATCAGGGTAGTAGTACAGCTGTAGGAGGGTTGATGTTGATCAGGAGTAGATAATAGGGAATTCCCTATTATCTACTCCTGATGTTGATAGATACTGGCTCAGTGAATATCATGGAAATGCTGGTTGTATCATGCGTCTGACGTCATAATGACGTCAGCCGCTGCTTACTACACATGTACGCGGGCAAGCAAAAACGCTCTGACGGTTCACATGTACCGTTATATGGAGAAATGAACATGTACACAGGTGGCACATAGTGTTAGCCATCGAATAAAGTTGAAAACGAAAAATCGATGAAATTTCATGCACAACGTGGAGAGTATCCTTAAAACTAATATTTATTATCACACACATTGATCAATAACATGGATGTAATTATGTTTGTTGCTTATGCTATCATATGACGTTGACAGATTTCACTCGTTTTGGCAAAACCCATGGAATACCAGACTTCTGAACTACCAGATTACAAAATCTGTCAAAGAAGGTTAATTTCGCACCCTGGCATACATGTGTGTACAAATCCTAAATCGCCTAGCTAGGTGTGGCAGGCACATCACTGACATTTACTTCTTGTAATTCAGCAAAGCAGAATTAGGAAAAGAAGGAGTTTCCCAGGTCAAAGAAAACAATTAGCAGCTGTGGCTGGCTGGGAGGATAAAATTTCCCACCACTATGCACTGATACCACGTAAGCCTGTTTGTGTACATGTATACGTCTCTCTATATTCAGTGCTTGCTGTCTGCATTTTTCGCTCTTTACGAGGTGTATAACATGAGAAATTCTTCAGTGGGAAGGTTTTTCATTACTGCCATGAACAGGTGCTCATTTTATAGATGTGCCTGCTATTAACACAGGTTAGACTGTATAATGAATCTAGAGCTGTAGGGCAAGGGAACAAGGCTTATCGAGTCACCAGGCTTGTTTTAGGTATAGCATTAAATATAAATGATCACATTACGTTTAAAGGGATATTATACCCTAGAACCTTAGAGTATATTACGCTGGTAAGTGCATACCTGCAGCCTAAAGCCGAAAAGTTGTGTTGCGCAACTTTGTTATTGGATGCACAAGTTTATAGTGGCGCCACCGTTGATGGTTTGTTGTAATTTTGCTTTTCAATGGCTATAGCATAATTTCTTAAAAAAACTTGGGAATGCCTAAATACAGGAACACAAAAATTTCCTAGACTGTAGATGAGAAAGCTATTTACAACTGGAGAGGAATTCCTATCCATGGCACATTAACTGCACAGCACACAGTGTTCTGCTTTTCTTGCTTACACATGCTTTTGGGTTTCACCAGATGACGGCACCAACCCTATTATATTTGTCATATATAATAGGAATAATGTATAGGAAAATTGCTAGCAGAACATTTGTTTATTTTCACATTTTGCAATGGTGGCAAGTACCATCAGTACCCTACATATTAGTACCAACAACATACCTTTAACTTCGCCTCGTCTGGACCCTTGGGAGTTGACGCAGCACCACTGGTCCCTTGCAGTTTGTTACGTGTCCGCCACGTTTTCAACATACCGCAGAGGTATGCACTTTTATTTGTGACGTGTTCAAGATTGATCTCACGAAATTGTTTAAGGACTTGCCCGGCCACCTCAGGTGGAAAATCCTTAAGAGCATCCAATGCCCGTTCATCCAGATCTTCATGCTTCAAAAACCCTAAGAAAAATCAGCAGACACACGACTCTAAATTCTATGAATAAATAACAGTCAAGTCACAAATTAATGCAGATAATAGAGGAGGCATTCATGTTCGGAAATTACTGAGGTTCCAACATTATTATGGATGCTTTTAGCCTTTGCATTATAAATTGAACTTATTCTGTAGCACAGTGATTATGAAAATAACCCAAGTGGAAGGAGTAAACACTTACTTGAAAGCATAATTAACCTAAAGGAATGAATGACTGCAACTAATGATTTCAAGAAATACTACAATTTTGTAATGGGTATCTCTCCTCTCTGTTTAACACACTTTATCCAATTTCGTCATAAAAGAATAATGAAAGTGTCAATGACACTGTAGCTCACCACAAAAAAGGACACAAATGAGTGAGTAAGAAGAAGTCAGTTTTAATTGAGCAACCATCGACGTACATTATAGAAATGATTGCCATCTGTATATCGCAATAATAATCTATAAACCAAAATGAATCACAATTTGTGACCGTAGATGGCGCTATACCCGCTTTGTAGCGATGGCGTTTGAAATAAATAGGTTATGCTGCGTTCCGACATGTTTTGTAAAACTTTACTCTAATATAGACGTTTTATCGGCAGGGTGGAGAGGAAATACCAATTTTGCATTAAAGATATTGTCAATGAAATCTTGTAAAACAAACCAGACGAGTGTGACACCACACTGTTTGTGTCTATATAATATGCTATATAATTGCCAAACCCTACCTAATTTGCATTTTTTTTTTTAAATATCAAAACCCCTAGCCCTTATTCATTCACATACCAAAAATGAGCAAAATCCGTTGAACCTGAACTGACTAATGGCAATTCCCATTTTTGCCAAAAAATTGCCGTGGCTCGAAAGTACGTCGACTGGCGAGCTCCAAAATAGGACGTTTAATATGGGAGCATAGCAGTAACAACTACACCGAATTTCAAACATGTGGGTCAAACGGTTCCTGAGTTATCGTTGACCGAAGCCAAATGTTGACGGACGGACGGACGGACGGACGGACGTACGACGACCCATGGCAATAGCTCAGCTTGACGATGTCAAGGTGAGCTAAAAATGTGAACAATAATACTTAAATAGTTGATCCTTTTTGTGGTAGTTATAGTAAATCCCACAACTAAAACAATAAAAATAGTGCACTACCAGTACCAGTCTAGTTTGTTCTGATAGTAGTACAATTGTTAGATTCAATTAAGGCATAGCAAAACAAGGACCACAATGTAAATAAGTGTGCTAGTCATGCTTTTTGTGTATATATCCTTGGTAATTATCCAATTTTATGAAATTCAAATTTTTATTGTAAAAGTATGCAATGTATTGTATATGATGGATAATTGCCTAAATAAATAAATAAAATAAATAAAATACCAGACCACGGTGAGGATTCTACTGGATATTTATCTGTACTGTAGACTGTGTAGTGTAGGCCTAGTAATTTTTGTTATGGAAGTGGCTATTCTTACGACGAGTCGTAAGAATTATTTTTGGACTATTCTTACGACATGCAACGCGCACGCGCATGCGATGCGTATTTCGTTATACACTATATATTGTTTTTGTAAGATATACCGGTATTACCTATATAAGGAAATCGCCTCGGTTTATAGTTTGTGTTAGGGTTAGGGTTCGGGTTCGTGTTAGGGTTAGGGAGTAGGTGTAGTCGACTCCCTAAACTAGAATTATATTACTATTAACTATTATGCACATGCGCGTTGCATGTTGTAAGAATAGTCCATAAATAATTCTTACGACTGGTCGTAAGAATAGCCACGGCCTTTTGTTATACCGCATTTACCTTCAGTACAGATCCTCTCCACCTCAGTTGCGGTTTCCTTATCCAGTCCTGCATTCAATAGGTTTTGATAGTTTTCTGAATGTTTAGCCTCTGGTTTAGAACCCTCACATTGCTCCTTGATCTCTTGTTTAATTTCTACAACTGCCTCCCCGGTCTCTGTATCAGCCATTGCACCTACAGTACAGTTACGAAAAGTGTACAGTTTAGTACGTGCCTATTAATATTAGTATTACTATTAGTATTAGCTCTAGTACTATAGCCGGTTACATTAACTGCCGCTGGCATTTAATGTAAGCGGGCTATAGTACTACTACTAGAGCTATATTACTATTACAATACTAGTATTCTAGTATTACTAGTATTATCATTGAAATTATACACAGCCTAGGAACAAACGATTTTGTAATTACGTCAGAAAATAATAATGGTAACTAACCAGGCACTGACTCATGAACACAGGTAAATTAAAAATACTTACGAGTGAATATCCACAAAAACCGTTTCAAAACAACAATTTATATGAAAGAAAGGAAGACAAACGCGAGGCGGTAGGGATCTCACTACTTGATCAAGGGGTTGCCGTTACTAGCGCCACCTATAGTATCGGATCGTATCTCTCTTGAGTGAACGCACGTAATGTGACGTAGGACTACTGCAGCTAGTCTACCTATAATTATAAACACAGGTGTACCGTTAACAATTAATTTCATAATTTTATGCTGAGATACCCCCTAACCATATTAAATGCATATTCATCACAACATATAGCTACTCTGGTAAGATATTGCGCATGAGTCAACACACTAACGTAGCCAGATTATGTACTGACTGGCATACATGCAGAGGGCACCTTACATGTAAGGTCTTCGCCCCATGTCTTAAGGGATTAATTAAGGGATGTCTACTGATAGAATGTTATCAAATAAATTCATGCTAGGATAGCTCCTCTGGTAAGATAATGCGCATGCATCAACACACTAACGTAGCCTACTGACTGGCATATGAAGAGGGCACCTTACATGTAAGGTGTTTTTCCTATATGTCTTTAGGGATGTCTACTGATAGAATGTTATCATATAAATCCATGCTAGGATAGCTCCTCTTCATTTTAAATGCATAATCTTTGCAAAATATGATTATTCTCGGGGGATATTGCGCGTGCGCGAGCACCGTTACAGGCGTACAATTTGGACTAAAGAAAACTGCGTAATATAGCTTGCTGTGGGAGAGAGGGGTAAGAGACAGAGGAAAAGCGACAGGGAAGATAGCTGAGGGGTGGTAGAAGAAGAATTAGGTTGAGCGAGAAACAGGGGAGACAATAATTATGGGAAGTATGGGAGGGGTGAAGTAGCCGTTTTGCACCCTACAAGCTAGGGCGCTCTCCTAATTATAAACACAGGTGTACCGTTAACAATTAATTACATAATTCTATGTTCAGATACCCCCTAACCATATTAAATGCATATTCATCACAAAATATAGCTCCTCTGGTAAGATATTGCGCATGCGTCAACACACTAACGTAGCCAGATTATGTACAGACTGGTATATAAAGTGGGTACCTTACATGCAAGGTCTTTTTCCTATATGTCTTTGGGGATGTCTACTGATAGAATGTTATTATATAAATCCATGCTAGGATAGCTCCTCTTCATTTTAAATGCATAATCTTTGCAAAATATAATTCTTCTCGGGAGATATTGCGCGTACGCGAGTGCCGTTACAGGCGTACAGTTCGGACTAAAGAAAGCTGCGTAATATAGCTTGCTGTGGGAGAGAGGGGCAATAGACAGAGGAAAAGCGACAGGGAAGATAGCTGAGGGGTGGTAAAAGAAGAATTCGGCTGAGCGAAGGACAGCGGAGACAATATGGGAAGTACGGGAGGGGTGAAGTAGCCGTTTTGCACCCTACAAGCTAGGGCGCTCTCCTAATTATAAACACAGGTGCACCGTTAACAATTAATTACACAATTCTAAGCTCAGATACCCCCTAATCATACTAAATGCAAATTCATCACAAAATATAACTCCTCTGGTAAGATATTGCGCATGCGTCAACACACTAACGTAGCCAGATTATGTATTGACTGGTATATGAAGTGGGTACCTTACATGCAAGGTCTTCTTCTTATTTCTTAAGGGATGTCTATTGATAGAATGGTATCATATAAATCCATGCTAGGATAGCTCCTCTTCATTTTAAATGCATAATCTTTGCAAAATATAATTATTCTCGGGAGATATTGCGCATGCGTCAACACACTAACGTA